CGTCCTGTCAGGAGGAGGAAGTGGAGAATGGCAGCACACTCTCGAAAGGTGAGTGCAGTCAGAAATGCGAAGGATGGAGTCCAACACAATATCGATGCTAGCGTCATTAGCCTGTCTATGACGTTTTGTATGCGTGTTAGCATCAAGCTAGCAGACATTCCTCCCCTCTTTCTTCCTTCCATCCCTCCTTATTCCCATTCCTCCCCCTCCTTTCCCGTCCTTCCATTGTTCCTTCCTCCCTCCGTCCCTCCCTTCAAATAAGCGCATTTGAAAAAAAAGAAAAAGTTTACCTATTAAGTGTTCTGTCGGCGCGCGTTGTAGAAAGCAGTGTGGAGTACCGCGACTCAACGGGTGTGGACCTTCACCGTTTCATCGTGGACACGCTGAACAGTAACCCCAGAGACCGCATGATGATGCTTAAGCTGGAGCAGGACATGGTCACCTTCATCACGGGAGAAAGGTACACACACACACACGCACACACACGCACACACACACACACACACACACACACACACACACACACACACACACACACACGGTACTGCACGTGTGTAAATGTGAAGGAGAGCGCGTCCTTGTGCGCTATCGAAATAATGATCCACACTTCAAAGTCTGCTCAAGATTGAAGACGCTCATTTATGTTTTGGGCAAACTTCAATGAAAGGTTTTTATATCTGCGGTATACTTGGCTCCCGTTTCTACTCCTCATCCTCCCCGGTTTATGTTTCTCCAGCACTTTCAAGAAGTTCCCGCACATGTCTTCGTACCACCGCATGCTGGTGCACCGCGTGGCCGCCTTCTTTGGCATGGAGCACAACGTGGACCAGACGGGAAAGTCGGTCATCATCAACCGCACCAGCAACACCCGGATGTAAACGCACGCCACTCGCCATCATCGCGCTTGTTTGTCCTCATCGTGTCGATTTGTGGAAGGTTTACGCAATCAACGCGGTTGGTGTTTGTTGTTCTTGTCCAGACCGGCGCAGCGTTTCGTGGATCAGGTTCAGGATGACAAAGCCGCGGAGATCCCACACTGGAAAAGCATTTTGAAACGTAACAGCAGCACAGATGAGCAGGTACGCTCTTATTTATTTTATTCGATTTATTAAATCTCTCTCTCCGGACTTCACGTTCTAACACGGTGTTTTTATTTTTGACTCAAGGCTCATCTTTGACATGAGAAAAAAGACAATAGCACAACATAAAACAAAAAAAATGTATATGCAGTGAACCTCAGTTTAGCGTAAATTTGTACATTTACCGGTTTAGTGAGACCATCGAGAAAACTTTTTTTTTTTTCGTTTTACTGCTCCTATACGCTTCAATCGCATTTGCATTTATATTGAGACACATAAAAAAAAATATTGCTGTCAAACTAAACGTAAAACAAAGGGAATGACATCTTTGCCTCACAAATGCCCTCCCGCTAGCTTAATAACGGAAAATGCAAATGACGGGCTAAAACCCAATAAACACCCACACGGCGCTCGCACAATGGATTGAATTCAAGCATTGATTAATTTTTAACATTCTATTTGTTCACTTCATAGGAGTAAATTTTTTATATAATTTATAAAATAGTACTATCGTACTTTTTTTTTTTTTAAATGGCACCTCCTTTCCTCTCACGGGGAAAAAGTTTTGATCGGCCTTTTTTTTTTTTTTCATTTTCGTTTTTTTTTTGCCTCAGACACGACGCCACACCTTGCGCGACAAGCAAAGCAAGTCTATGGAGGAGCGAGAGGAAGAGTATCAAAAAGTGCGAGAGAGAATCTTCAACCAGGAGGTGAGACGCCCGACTTCACTCACAATCACAAGAATACAATCTTTAACTCCTATTCTTCTTCTTCATTCTTTTTTTTTTTTTTTTTTAAACAGCCTCTCTGCACAAAAGAGAGTGGCCACATTGAGAGCAGGTAACCGCCCATGCCTTGTCTCCATGTCCTCGTTCACCTTAATCTCGTGACAATGGATCATTAACATAAATGTGTGTGTGTGCGTGTGTGTGTGTGTGTGTAGGCTCGCAGAGGAAGGCAACCCGTACGCCGAGACCCAGAGGAGAAGGCAGCTCTTCAGGTAGCACATTCATCATCTTAATTTGCATCGAGCGACTCACACACACACGGCGCACACACAGCGCACACACGCTCACTCGACTGCGCGCTGACTAATTGAAAGGAGCGCACGGTTGGCAATTAAGGACACGTTCACACTACAAGGCCCTCATTTTTAAAAGCCTACTTTTATTTTACAATGACTCGGCTCCCACTTAAACTCGGCAAACTTTACTCACTTAAATCAGTTCACGCTTACAAAAACACATCGTTGCCAGGCGTAAGAAATGAACCATCCGTGTGGCTGAATTACCACCACCACCAAAAATGGCCACTTTATGCTTCATGTTTCAATTGGGATGAAATTCAGGTCAAATGTAAATCAATATTGTGACGCAAAAGAACTTTGAAGATGTGGCTGTAGCATTGGATCCCTCCCCAACATGGCCGCCGTTCTTCCCCTACTAACGGCGTCCATCTTGTTGTCCACAGGGGCAGCCGTGACAGCTCCGGATCCAGCTGGACAGGCAGCAGCCGCCAAAGCAGCACCGAGACCGACTGTCGCTACGCCAATGAGCCCCGGCCGTGGAGCAGCACCGACTCGGATTCCTCCTCGTGCCAGTGGACCGCCACCGCTCCCAAGCCCCGCCCCCACCCGGCCGCCAATCCCGGCTGGGAGCCCCATGGCGCAGCAGGTGCAAGCCCGAGATGTTTTTTCACACTGTAAACACCTCCGACTTGTCGCTAACGCTGAATGCTAATCGCAATGTGCTGGTCGGCGTCTAATTAACAGCAGAAAGTCTTTGCCTTCGCGCCCGCGCTGCACATTTTTACACTTCCGCTCATCTTCGCAGCCTCAAAAATGAAACACATTTTTTGTCGTTGTTGTTGTTCATTTGTTGTTTTTTTGGGGGGGTTGAAAGTTACCCTCCACCGCAAAAAAATGGTGATACAAGCTCTTCATTTCATTAAACAGAAAATTTGGGTCATATTTGTCAATTTTCGAAATTGACGGGAAAAAAAAGTCTTCTGTGGACATAAGTGACATCATGCTAACGTGTAGCACATGCTAACGTGGTTCTCAAGCTTTGTTTGAAAATGTTTGAAAACAAACAGTTCTTAAACACTAAATGCAAATGTAAGTTAAATACAACTGAACTGTACTGTGCTGGATTTAAAAAAAATGTTTTAAATCACAACATTATGCACATTTTGAATTCATTGAATTCAGTGATTCATTACATACCACTAGAGGACGCACATGTACAAAAAAAATTTAACCAAGTTGAAAAGTAAACAAGGGCCTGTATTGGCCAACAGAAATTGGGTTTTGAACTCTACCAGAGAATAAAATGTTTCAGATTCAACCTTGTCGGATTCCTGCTTTTTCTTTCAAAAAAATTAATCACCAAAATATTGACAATTTTCATCTCGGAAAACATGATTTTTTTTTTTTTTTTGATACTGAAAAACGTCTCGCCTTAAAATTAGCTTGGGATGGGCGCCAGCTCCCCTTTAAATGAGAACAAGCATCTCAAAAATTAGATGCGGATGATATTGTGTGGTCGTAAATCTTTCCTTTCCCTCCACCAGGTTCCGTCTCTCTCTACAGGGTGTCCTCCGAGCAACCCGTCATGGCCGAGACCCCTGCCCACCCCGCTTACATCCTAGAGAACGGCATCCCACCGGGAAGCATCCTGGTCAACCCGCACACCGGTCGATACACAAACACACACGCACACACACATTAGCGACAAGGGCAGCCATTTTAAAAATCAAATGGCCACTGATGTTTCAGGACAGCCTTTCCTGAACCCTGATGGAAGCCCCGTGGTGTACAACCCGCCTGGTGCTCAGCAGCCAATCAGGAGCCAGATGCACGGAGCTCCGGCACAGCAGCCTACGCAGCAGCCTACACAGCAGGTAACACACACACACACACACACACACACACACACACACACACACACACACACACACACACACACACACACACACACACACACACACACGTACACACGTGCAGAAAGCTCAATGCCGTGTAAAGATAAGGAAAACATGAGGGTACATGCAGTAGATATAAAAAGTCTACACACCGCTGTTCAATTGCCAACCTTTTGTGATGCCTTTGTAAAAAGAAAAACTAAAGCAATGCAGCGCCTACTAGAACATCTGAACTTTAATACCAAAATGCAAATGAGTCTGAGATGATTGACGTGTGTGTGTGTGTGTGTGTGTGTGTGTGTGTGTGTGTGTGTGTGTGTGTGTGTGTGTGTGTGTGTGTGTGTGTGTGTGTCTCCCAGGTGTACTCATCCGTCTCATACACGGCCCCGCAGATGTTGCCCATGGCCCCTTCACAGCCATACCCCGCCGTACGTAGCAGGGCCCCACTTCCTGTTAGCGCCCCAACGCTAACTTCCTGTTCACGTTTGCCTCGTTTCCCGCAGATGGAAGACCTGTCGCAGCAGTTTGCCCACGTAGCTGTCAGCTGTCAATCGGCAGGGGAAGCCGCGCCCATTTGCCCTCCCGCCCAAGGCTACGTGTTCGCAGCCCCGCCACCGCCGTCCCATCCCCCTGTCGCCCCTCAAGTTCCCAACCCCCACAACTACTGCCAGCCCTCACCACAGGTAGGAAAGAACACACACATTAAATATTGGGGATGGGCGAGTACTGATACCAGGTATCGGTATCAAGTCGATACCAGCCACCGATACCCAAGACAAAAGAAAAAAAATTGACAATTGGTAATAATTGGTGCTACACTTTGGCAAATCATCGTCTGAGTCAGAAAGAAAGGTTTGGTTCACAATTTTTGTCCTTGTGTTAAATTAAATGTTATATATGAAAAGTACTAGCGCTATCGGTATTAGAGTATGCAAAGATTGAATACTCAGACTGGTATCGGTCTGGAAAAATAGAGGGGCATCCCAATTAAACCTACAAGATAATTAATAATGATAATTTTATTTTTTTTAAATCGTTAGATTCCATTAATAGAATGTTTATGTTCAACATTAAGCAGTAGAAAATAATTATGTTTAAAATAATCAAATATATATTTGAATCATTCATAAATAGTAAGCAATACAAAAACAATTAGTCATTAAAGATTAAACGAATAGATTAAATATCTATTCGTTGGTTATGTTCATAAATGAATATCTTAATGATTAAATGTTTACTTTAATTACAATTTTAAATGAATAAATTAATCGTTACAATCTCAAAAATAATTCAAAATAATTCTCATGAATATTCATCATAAAATGGAAAACGTTTGCAAATCAGTAGGTATAGCTTATATTGTCGTATTTTAATAGAATAATTTCTAGGACAATAAATATGAGATGTATGATCTAAGAATGTATTTTGTTCCGTTTTTCATGAACAAAAAAGACATTTATGGAAAAATTAAAGCCCACCCCCAAATAAACACATCACCGCTGCAGTTGAGTACGGTGCTCTGTTCTAGGTGCCTGCCTTCTACTACAGCCAGTATCCTACCTCAGCTCAACACCCGGTCAAAGCCGCCTCGCCAGGCTGCAGCGCAGGTAAATATATCACCCCAAAAAGCCCTTACTGAACCCCCCTCCCCCCCACCCCAAAATAACCAATGTCACGAGTAGTAGAGGAGGGGGCCGTTACACTGTCAGAGATGAAGTCCTGAGGGTCTCACAGTGAACCGGTCTCTTTTCCTGCTGCTCACACTCATCCGCACCGGAACATGCGTTGGTAAAAAAAAAAAAAAAAAAAGAGAAGAATTAATAAAAATTACTCAGCCCCACAAAAACTTCCCGTCACAATATTTTTTCTTTGTTGTCGCCAGGTTATGTCCCGCAGCAGCAGTCGTACACGGCCATGTCGCCGCACCACTGTAGCATTCTTCAGGTAAATGGCAACATCTACTCCTCCCCACAAAAAAAGTGCGAAAATATGACAAAACAGATTTTTTTTTTTTTTATCTTACTATGCCATTTGTTTTCCGCAGAGCGGGGTTTGTGTGTATCAACCCAGTAAACTCGGTGAGGCGGGATACTGCTGCATGGTGGCACCACCGAATCCCCACTGTGGTCCCGCCTGGACCACATAACATTGATGACACACACACACACACACACACACACACACACACACACACACACACACACACACACACACACACATACACGTATAAATTTTTCCCTACCGCATGTTAACACAAAGCACTCTCACATTAATGCACTGTACCAAAGCTTCATAGTACATCTATAAATTTATATCTACAGTATATAGAATTAAACACCAGGCTGCTGTATTGACTGCATAATTTATACTATACACAAAATTGAGTTTTATATTGATATGAAATGGTTATATATTGTGATTGATGCCAAAAAAACGCACTGTGTGTGAATATATTTAATAAACGCACATGGCAAAGTCCCGTTTGATGGATCCAGGTCAGTCTCTTTCGCGCCGCCGCGGCACGTGCAGTCTCATGATACAATTTTATTTTCCAATTATTCATATAAGAACGTTTTTTTTAAATCTGGATTTTCTTACTCAGGCTCTTCAGCGCCACCTACTGCCCAAAGAATGTAACTTCAAGCATTTTAAATATTCGCTTGTACAAATGGTGTTAAAAATTTCATCATGTCATAAAGTCTATCATTCAAGACAAAGAAAAAAATCATAACTAGGCGCTATTAGTGGCAAAAAAAATAAATCATGCCATAACCCTTTAAGCACCAACGTTCCAAAATTGCACAAAGCAACATTTACAGTCTGGCTGCATCTATCACCATATTCGAGCTAAAACCTTTTGAAATATTTTACAAAAAAAAAAAAAAACACTGCCGCCAAATAGGTTAAAATGTCCTTTTGGTGTAAAAAAAAAAGCCATATAAAGTCCCTATTGTATCAAAATATTTCAAAAATAGGGCCAATTGACGGCACAAAAATAAATAATAAATCACGTCTTGAAAAGGTGCTATCAACGTCAACAAAAAAGACGTCATAAAATAGCCTTATTGATGGCAAAAATAATTATTCATGTCAAATAAAAGGTCTCATGGATGGTAAAAAGTAATCATGCCGTGAAGAGTCAGATAAAAGTGCGCGTGTACATGTCGGAAGGCTTTGCAAACATTCTCTTTGGTTTCCGTTCGGAAGGGGATATCCTGCTCCGCTTCATTCTTGCTATGCCCGCCATTTTTGACCGGCGAACTTGGATCATCTCTCCAATTTGAGGTAAGTTATCCGAAGATAAAAACATTTACAGTCTTGTTTTGTATTTATATCGCTATCATTAGGAAGTAGAATGCAGATGACAAGTATTTTTTTTCAAGGAATTCGATGCTAATTCGCTTCAGGCGCCTACAATGTCGTTTTGGGGTCGCCAATAGAATGCTTCATCGAGATGGCTTCCAACATTCACACAGATTTAATTTCGTAAGTGCCACTCAAGTTAGTATCTGGTGGCATTAGAAAAACATGTCTAGTTACAAGAAGTAATTTCTGTCGATTGTTTTTTTCTGTAGAACTAAATGTGAAGGCAGCGTCCTCCCATAAAAAGTGAGCAGGTGTATCTTGATTGACTTCTGATAGTAACCAAATTTTTTTCAGTAAATGACAACTTAAAGAAATTCCTGAACAATAAAGCCATGTGTAGTAAAGCGTTTCGGTGTACGACCAAATACCGTAAGCCGTTTTTTTTAAAGAAAACCATGTATCGTAAAGAGTTTAAAAAAATAGTACGGTAAGGTGTTTTTTTTTTTTTTTAATTTAAACAACCATTTGTAGTCAGGCATTTTTTTAAACAACCACGAGTAGTCGTTGGGGAAAAAAAGACCCATGGTAAGGCAGATTTGTTTTTAATTTTAAATGACGAGGTATAGTGAGGGTTTAAAGAGTTTTTTTAAAAGAGCTTGTTTCCACTAACTCTGCCAGGTGAGTAGAAGCACGAGTGACTAAAGCCAAACCGTGGTAGGGTTATTTTTTGGGACCTGGATTTGAAACCTCTGCAAAAAACTGCCCAAATGACTTGTGTACCCTTTTGCCTTCACTCCAGCAATAACGCGCACATGTGATAATTCATTTTTCAAGTCGAGCTGATTCCTAGTTTAAGCCAATGAAACATATCCATCATCCTGGCCAGGCTTTAAAATTAAATTTGGATTTCATAACGCCGACACCATGCCTTCAATTATTCATGCGGCGGGGGCAATGGTAAAGCCAGCTTCACTCTCCATTTTTGTCCTGGATGACTTTCACACGAACCAGCAGGCAGGTTGATGAGCTTTAATATTAATCATAATAATAAAAGGCACATGTACAGCCAGAGTGAGATGAGCAAGTCCACAGCCTTTTTTTTTTTTTTTTGTCTTTATGAAAACACCCCCCAAAAATACAGCAGAGTTCAGGAGACATCTTCAATCTGCTTTACAGTAGATTCTATTCACATAACATCTGCTCCTTCATGAAAGTCCAATGTACTTTTAGCCCCTATCCAACTGAGCGGGGCACATTTCCTACTGTTGGCGAAGGTAGACAAATGCACATTCACGTCAGTTTTTTTTTTTCTTTCCACAAGGTTGGAAATGTCTCTGGCGAACAATTGGAACATTGAAATAAACGCTGACGTGAACGCAACATTCACCGCTTTCAAAAACACTCGGAATTGTTCGCTGCTCAGTGGGATAATGGCTTTTAGGTGGAGGACCCCCGCAACATCCCTTCAGTCACACACAAACACATGCACACACACTCGGGTTGTGAAAACATACATTTTTTTAACCTTTTTTTTTTTTTTTTAATAAACACACTTTACAGTGGAAAAAAATGTAGCAGATGCACAAAATCCTTTTCGACATGCCACTATTATTAAGCAAATTGCTTGTGAGAAAACGGGTGAAGAAAAATATCAAACAGGAAGAAAGCCAAATAACTTGCTAACAGAATGAAATACTTCTACCCCGAGAAAAATGCAAACAAAATACTTGAAACATGTTTTTAAGATCAACTATTTTTGAATTGACGATCAGAAGAAAAATTTTTTAACCATTTTGATGTTTTCTTTAATGGCACTAGTGACCCCTAATAATGTACCAGATGAACAATTTTCTTTTTTAAAACATTTGAAATATTTGAAACTGATGGCAAGAAAAAAAGGGATCCGTTTTGGAACACAGGTGAGAAAGCTGCCTTTTATTTTCATGCATTACTCACCAATAAAATGTTACAAATAATTTGTAAAAAAAACAAAAAAAACATGTTAAGCTATTTTTAGAGGCATTTCAACCGGCTTCGATAATGGATAGATGGATAAATTTGATAGTGGCAGAAGAAAAATTTACAGATGGGAAAGCTTTGGTGGTCGTAGCAGAATTCTTGAATACAGGTCATGTTTTTTTGGTGACATTTGGTTCTTTACCCTCCAAAATGTTGTCAATGCTTTTAAAAAAGATGCTGGCATGCCACTATTTTGATCAGAATTGAATTTAAAATGTGTCTAACCTAAAGACATTTTGCAAACATGATTAATTTGGCAAAAAAAAAAATAATAATAAGTAGGGTCTTTTTTTTAAAGTGTTTTACGACATTGTGTGAAAATATGGCCGAAACTGAAATTTGAAAAGAGGCAGGTGAGATTTTTTTTTTTTAATACACTCAAACAAAAATTATAAATGGACTAGATATTTTCACACCAAATTTTTTTTCCAGAGTATTTCAATGATTTAACTTGTGGTGAGAAAAATGGCTTGTTTATCTGGAGAAACTTAAAAGGTTATTGTCACACACACACACACGAACACACAAAATATGGGAGGCCTCAAAAGCAATGAATACATTATTATTTTTAAGTGTTGAACAGTATGGTTAAATATAAATAAAATAGGGAATCACGCAAGCACGCACCCAATCACACGTCACAGCTCAGTCGAGTCAACACTCGTTTTCACATTTAGACAACACGCGTGCACACACACACATGCGCGCGCGGGCGCGCATGATTGCTGTAGTGCGCATGTGTGCTACTTTTGGCTCTCGGGTGTGCGGGGTGTCCAACTGCTACACACTGACCACCTCAGGACCACAACCCCCCCCCCCCCAAGTCAATTGAGTTTCCAAAGGGGGTCTCCTCACTCGTGTTGTAGGAGGTAAATGGATTAGTAGTGTGTGTGTTTGTGTGTTTTGGGTGGGCGTGCGTGCGTGTTAAGAGGTATCAGTGGTTGAGTGGCGTCTGTCTGTCCCGTCTTCTCTTGTCGCTCCTCGTCGTGGTGGTTGTCGTCGGGTGTCGTTACTTTTGGACCTGGAATATGAAGAGGCGCAGGTTGATGTTTTTGGCGGCGAGCAGTTTGTTGCACTCAACAGAGTCGCAGATGGGCAGCAGCACGTAGTCGGTCTCGCTGTCGTCGTTGCTGAAGGCGTAGTGATGGATGACTGGCTTGATGCGCACGTCGTCGTACGGGCCCTTCAGCAGCAGGAAGGAGCACTCCAGCGCTGAGTTCACCTGGGCAAGGAGTTACCGTGATTATGATTTTTAAGATAATGCAGTTCGAATCCGGCTGCGGCCTTCCCCTGTGGAGTTTTTATGTTCTCCCGGCCTTGCATGGGTTTTCTCCGGGTACTCCGGTTTCCTCCCACATCCCAAAAACATGCATGGCAGGTTAATGGAACACTCGAAATTGTCTCGAGGTGTGAGTGTGAGCGCGAATGGTTGTCTATGTGTGCCCTGCAATTGGCTGGCAACCGGTTCAGGGTGTCCCCCGCCTACTCCCCGAAGACGGCTGGGATAGGCTACGGCACACCCGTGAGTGACCCCTCGTGAGGATAAGCGGATTAGAAAATGGATGGATGGATTATTATGCAGTCTGGAAAAGACTGCATGAGCTTCCTTTTATGCAAAGATGAGTTTTTAAGTTTTGATTCTGTCAAGCTGTAACCCCCCCCCAAAAAAAAGTCAACTTAGAGGGGAAAAAAAATTCTACAAACTGGTTAAAAAGAGACGAAAAAAACACCACACCCCTGAAACAAAAAATGTCAATTTAAAATATTCTTACATAAATGGACTAAAATAAACTAAAAATCCCCAAAACTTTGACTGAAAAATGTTCCAACTCAAACTTTTCCGCAGACTAAAACCTCCCAAATCCAAAACTTGTAGCACGCCGAGCGCTGGAATAAAAGAGTTACTTTGACTTGTCATAATAAAGACGAGCTTGGTGCCTTCAAATCGACCTTGAGAGGTCGCGTGAGCAGGTGTGAAAATGTTTTAATGATCCCGCTTTACGGCTTTATAAGCGGCAACGTGAATTTTTTTTTTTTCCCGTGACTGGCTCACCTTGCTCTTGAGGATGAGCTGGAAGGAGAGCGTGCGCTTGCATGACAAGTTGGGGTTGCGCTCCGAGTCGTTGACGCGCGCCTTCAGCACCCACGTCTGGTTGAGCACGGTGAAGCGCGGCGTCTCGTAGTACAACCGCGTGATGAAGTCGTCGGTGCGGTACGGCCTGAACTGCACCTCTGGCAAACGCAAACAGTTTTTCCTGACATTTTACAGCGAAACTCCTCTACAACGAAATCATGTTTGCAGCAAGAAGTTTTTCACAACCTGGGACTTTTCACTGTAGCAAATTTGATCTCAGACGTAAACACGAACACACACAAAAAATGTTTGTGTACTTTTAATTTTTATTCCAATAGTGCATAAGTATGAGCATACGCTTATTTGACACTTCATATAGCCAGCGTAGAAAGAAAAAACGGGAAAGAAATTGCGAAATTTACGATCAGCATTTACTTTCACTTAACATCAATTTCTTGCATAATGTCTCTTATTTTGTTTCTTCCATCTTTCATTTTGATCACTTTTACCCTGTCTTCAAGCGTTAAAGCTTTTCTTTCCTTCACTCCTTGGTATGCAAAGGTCCGTTTTGTCGCCATTTTAGCAATGCACCGTTCGTGCTGCGTCTGAAACAAATACTTCCTGTTCTACTGCGCATGTGTCAACCAGCGTGGCAGTTGCTGTTGCCGTTTCCGAAGGAAGCAGTAGAGGTCGCTGTGGCATGCTGAGGTTGGATTAGACTTTTGCGGAAGGCTTGTTTTCGTTGCAGTGAATCTCGTTGCGAAGATTTCGTATAACGGAACAGGGGGACTTTTCGTCACAGGGGGAGCAGAAAAGTGGGAATGGCTTTCATGCATGAACATTTTTTTCACACTAGAGGGTATGTAGGTTTCGTTGTAGAGGAGTTTCACTGTACCAATTAAGTTACATAAATAGCCCCCCAATTTTTTTTTTATCTTTCTTTGGAATCGAGCTGGCATGGGGCGGGGTCTTACCGGTGAAGCCGATCTTCTCGTAGCAGAGGAGGCTGAAGATGCTGTTGTAGAGCTGCATGTCCCTGCGGTGGCTCTGGTCCATCTCGCCCAGGATGCCCATCAGCTCTGTGCCCGTCTTGGTGGGATGCGAGCACTCGCCCTCGTGGGCCGGCATCTCGTGGAAGGGCCCCTGCCAAGGGCACCCGATGCGCTTGTATTTGCACACCGTCACCCTGGTCCCAAAAACAACCCCCCAAAAAAACGGGAAAGCAAGAAATATTGACTGTCACTGGAACAAAGTTGGTGCTGTCTGTGCCTTCCTCTCTCTCTCAGCCTGTCTCTCACTCTTGCCATCTGTGTATCTGTCTGTCTGACTCTTGAGTTTCATCTCTCTTGATCTATCTCTCATTGTCTTTCCTCTCCCCAAACTGTCTCACCACCTGTCTTGCTGTCTGTTTCCCTGACTCTGAATCTTGTCTCCCTCTCTCTGTCTCTCCCTCCACCTGTCTTGCTCTGTTTCTCTTACTCTGAATTCCCCCTCTCTCTGTTTCTCTGACTCTGAACTCTCTCTCTCTCTCTCTCTCTCCCTCGCTCTCTCTCTCTTTCTGTCTCTCTCTCTCTCCCTCCACCTGTCTTGCTGTGTTTCTCTGACTCTGAATTCTCTCTCTGTTTCTCTGACTCTGAACTCTCTCTCTCCCTCTCTCTCCTCTCTGTTTCTCTGACTCTGAACTCTCTCTCTCTCCCTCTCTCTCTCACTCTCTCTCTCTCTTTCTGTCTCTCTCTCTCTCTCTCTCTCTTTCTGTGTTTCTCTGACTCTGAATTCTCTCTCTGTTTCTCTGACTCTGAGCTCTCTCTCTCTCTCTCTCTCTCTGTCTCTCTCTCTCTCACACATCCCTTTTGTGTTTTTCCGCTGTCGCTTGCACGCCGGTTCTCACCTGTCCTGGCACTCGTCCTTCTGGTGTCTCTCCAGGCTGGACCTGGGGAACTGTTTAAGGCAGAACGTGCACTCTGTGGGCAGCTCGCTGACCGCCTTCTCCACCGCCAGGTTCCTGCAGCACAGGTTCTTGCTGATCTCGCACCTGCAACGGCGATCAGGATCAATGCGGTGACCCGCGAGCGCCGCAGAGCGCCCGGCCCGGCCCGGACTTTGCTCGGCTGTACCTGCAGTTGGGACACGTGGCCTGCTCCTCCTTGAGGCGAGAGTCAGCCAGCAGGTGAATGAAGCAGCCCGCGCACATCAGGTGACCGTTGGTACACTAGTGGGCAACGTGTCACGATAAGTCAAATGTCATTAATGGAGGGGCACAGCACAAAAAAAAAGAAAAAGACACATGGGGAGCAAAAACATATTTTCCACATAATGTAGATAGTTCAGGGGAGGAGGGGGAGTCATTCGAAAGACAAAAAAAAAAAAAAGAAAAAGACACATTGGGAGCAAAAACATGTTTTCCACATAATGTAGATAGTTAAGGGGAGGAGGGGGAGTCATTCGAAATTGATCAAGGACACATTTCTGGATTTAGTATGATGAAAATGTATATTTTAAAAAAACCTGTAGCATTAAAATAAATCGGTGGCTTTTTACATGTTTTTAATGGCTGTAAAAATGCACTTACGCCATATTTTTAGATATATATATATTTTTAATTCTATTTCAAAATAAAAACTACTAATTTTTTTTTCTGTCAATGTACCTCGTATTTTTTTAAAGGTACATTTTCAAAACTTTTAAAAAGTAGTGTCACTGGTAATCAAAAAATCTCAACACACTCTGATCTTTTTTTTTTGCACCACCCCCCTAGATTACTTTAAAAAATTATATTAATTGTATGTCCTTTTAAAAATTCTTATTGTTTGCTTTTAACCCCCAACTTTTTTCGAATTACTTAATTTTAAATGACAAAAGGAAAAAAAAAAGCATGGTTGTTGAAACCGTGCTTTTTTTTTTTTTCTCCCAGACTGAAGTAAATCAACGATGGACAATCGGGATCAGATCCATATTAAAGCAGGTTTAACGTTAGTTTGTATACACATGACATATTGAATCAACTTGCAGATCTCTGGGTCGTGAAGTGCTTGCTGGAAAAAGTGATTCTCCCAACTTTTCCTTTATAAAGATACTAAATTTTAACTGAGATTTTGCTGAGGATGTCTCATTAGTTTCGCTGTATCCGGCAAGTACTTAGCCTGTATGTGTGTTTCCTCAGTTTTAAGATATTGAGAAAAACATGAATGAATGTGAGGAAGTGCGTTCAAGAAATCTACAATTTTATTTTAGTCTTATCTTTTTCATTCGTCTGCATCTTTTTTTTTTTTTTTTTTCCCATCTGCATCTTGCTTTGACGGGAAATTTGGGATGAATGAATAGAGGTTTACACTGCATTGTAATTTTATTTTTAGTTTTTTTTTTTTGTCACCTCTAAATTTCATTTAGAGCAGTGAAACATGAGACGATGTCTCCCGGCTCGGGATCCCTCCGAAAGAGTTGTAAAGAAGTGGGGTGGGGAGAGGGAAGCTGCTGAAGCTGCTGCCTCTGCCACCCGATTCTGATCTTCACGCATGCGCAGAGATCTGCAAGTGGCTTATTGTAATCACCTTTAAGTTTTTTTTTTTCTTGCTTTTTCCCCCCCAAAAAGTACCTTTTTTAGTGTTTTGGTTTCAAAAACTATTTGGGCAACCATTTGGACATACAGGGGTATGTATGTGCACTACTCACATGAAGTTCGGGATATTTGGCTTTCGGGTGAAATTTATGGAAAACGTAAAAAAAAAAAACCCAAAAAAAAACAACACTACAGTGATATCGTGAAAGTAGGACATTTAAGTATAGGTATGCACTGGTGATTTCTCATCTCAATTGTGACAATTGTATTCACATTGGTGGGTACGTTTAACAAAAAAATGTCCATGTCTCAATAACTCGTCATGTGCCCTTGAGCGTCATTTAAAGGATGTCTCATGCTGATCACAAGTTGATTTATTGTCTGCCGAGGCGTGGCATCCCACTCTGGAGTTGAGTGGCATTCATCATCCGGGTTCTAAAGGCATTGTTCAACGATGTAGCGGGCAAAGGACGCCCACTGCTACATCTCTCTGTGACTCTTCCAGTCTCTCGGTATCCCTGTTGCAACTGCTGATGACTATCTGTGCCACTGTAAACTCAGCGGCAACTTTCATTTGAGAACGTCTTGTTTGAAGCCTCACAACAGCAAGGTGCTGTTGACCCATTGTTGGGTGTCGTCTGGGTCTCATGATGTCAAAATGTCAACAGCATGACGACGACTGTTGAAACAGCAGCTCTGATTGAACCGGGACATTTATTGGTTGATTCAAGGATCAAACACCTGTTGCGAATTTTGCCGTTTAGCTCCTCGTTAGAGAACCGCAACGTGTGCAAAAAGTACTGAAACATTTTAACAGTTGGACGTGTGCATTCAAAAGCTTTCGAGAAGGTCACATTAAGTTCACCTGTAAAGGTTTTAATGCATTTTAGCCTCATCCTGAAATTTCACCCAAAAGTCAAATGTCCTTAATTTTTTTGTGAGTAGTGTGTATATATTTCCAGGCTGAAATATTTAATGATCATGACATATTTAGGTCAAGTCAATTTTTGTTTAATGCATTTTGGATTAATTTTTAAGTTAATGTTTTTTTTTAATTTTTTTTATGCCATGTTGTCATGAGAATTGCAGATTTGATCCAGAGTGAAACAGGTTTGACGGCTTTGCTTCAAATATATACGAAAGCAGTTGTTTCAAATAGTGGTTTGGGCGATTGTGAATGATTGGGGGACTTTGTGAGGGCTTTATGGATTGAACTTCGCACTGCTTGTGCTTGCACGTTATATTAAATAGTGTATGCAAGTGTCGTGTGCAGGGCTACTACATGGTTGACATTGAGCAGGGGACAGGTTGGTGGCATTCAAGGGCAAGGTGGGGAAATGGTGGACTACTTTTATTTTGAAGGGTGTTGATGTTGGGGAAGTGACTTTGAGTTGAAGGTTATTTGAAGATCATGTCAGACTTTTGAGCAGTGGGCCTGACAAGAAGGGGGCAGGGTGTGTCAGTACAGTTTACTCTGGCCTGTGCGGTTTTATTTATGAATCCATGGAGCATCAGGTTGCCCCAATATTTTCAGAATTTTAGGGGGAATGCGTTTTTTTTCTGGGAGGTGTTGCAGGGAGGTGTTGGGGCATGTTTGTGACACGTTTACCTGATACACAGACGCCTTGGGCAAGTCTAGGCACACGGTGCAGCAGAGCACAGAGTACAGTCTCTCCTCCAGTTTGCCGGACTCCGCCTCGGGCACTTTGGTCTTCTTCTTGGGCGGCTCGTCCGAGTCCGCCTCGGGCCGTATTCCGACCTCCTCCTGCCCGACGAGCCCGGCCCCGGCCACAGCCACCTCGGCCGCCCCCGCCACCACTGCTGCCGACGAGCCACCGGGCGCGGACATCAAGTCATCGTCTTCCATGGCAGACATTCGAATTGTTCGAGAACTTGCTACGTACTTCCCCCCCTCCACCACAGATTGCTTCTATCTTAGGTGGTGGGCTAGCTTCGAGGCTAATTGACAGCTAGCTCGCTAGTCGGCTGCTAACACCCGGCCTCACGCTACGGCGTAATGCTAGCGCACTTGTTATTTTTAGGGGTAATTTTCAAGGTCTTATGCAAGTCACAACCGAGGTGAAGACAAAATGTCACCCACTGGGGAGGACTTACGGTGCGGCTAGTTAGTTGACACCGAGCCCGGAGCACGGCGCTCCGGTAGGGGGGGTGGGCAGCCAGAACAAAAACAACTCAGCTGTTTTCAAGGAGGGCGGGGGGAGCTCTCTCCCATCAAACGGCTCGGTTCGGCTACCCCAAGGTCCGGCGTGTCCGCTCCGGCGGCCCGAAATGTCTTTCCCGGTCCGCGGACGCTTGTTGTTGTTGTTGTTGGCTCGTCTCTCGGGCTCACACAGCCATCTTTGTTTTTCTCCCTGTCCGTTTCCCCTCTCTCTGTCTCTCGGAGTTTTCACCCTTTTACGACTCCGTGTCAGAATAGGACTTAGTGAGAAATAAACACAGTTTTTTTCGAACTATGTCAATGGCCGCCTTTCGTCCTCCACGCCTGATCGTGTCGAATCGGCGGACGGCGGAATGTTTTGCTGCGGCCACAGATGACTTGGGGGTATTTAAAGAGTTGGGGAGCGCGCATGCGCAATGGCCGCAGACGAAGCAAGAGGGCTTTGAAAGCTGCCCAAAGTTGTGTCAGCTGACTGCTCTTTAAAGACCTTTGAGAACTCGTCGGCGCCCACGTCGTTGCTCCAAGGCGCTTTGATGACTAACTGCTAACTACTGGATGGTAGATAAGTTAAAACAGCCCCCAACAAGCAGTTTACGGCTTGTGGTGATTTACATATTGCAGCGTTCTGCTTGTGCAGTCAGCTGCAAGTGGTCTGACTGGTTCTGGGAGACCCTCTACTGTATTATTATTCATGATTGATACAACCAGAAATACAAGATGCGTAAACAAAGGTTTGAATACTAAGCTTTTACCTATGCAGAGGGAAAAAAACCCCAATGTATATATGATTGTGATTTTTAGTTTAAATTTGGTTTGATGTAACATTTTATATACATGCCTTATTTAGAATCATGATAAACAACCACTTTTTGACCCCTTTATTACATTGTGTGTAAATAACAAAGCCATAAATACAAGGTGAGTGAACCAAGGCTTGAGAATATGTTGAACCTCCTTAAGGGGCAATGCCCTAGGGGCCTATTTGGAAAAAATGGAGGACGGCTGTTAAAGGTGCCAGCTTTCCAAGATGAGGATGCCCAATGCAACCCCCCCAGAGCGGACTGACATGCTTCTTATTTGTAATTCAGACTTTCTCCTCGGGCATTTGATTGTTAGCTGCATTGAAGTTGAAAGTAACTTGTTTTAGACACATCTCTTGTTTGAATGGGTTGCTCGTTGGAGTGTCGGAACTCTTCGGGTCTGAAGCCTGCCCGGCGCTTGAGAGCCTCACAGTTTATGGGTTTTCCCTCGGTGTAGTCTGGACCTTCTCTCTGTCTAGCGTTGCTGGTCTAGGTCGATGTTCCTCCGTCCTGGTCGTGTGGTGGCACTCCAGCACGTTCTGCTGGCAACTGGCCACCTTGGCCCTCAGCCAGGGATGCTGCAACGTGTTCTGTGCCGTCATCCTCGTGACAGGGTCGGACTGGATGAGGCCTGAAACCAGGCCTTTAGCTTCTGAACAACAAAATAAGTATCGGTATGGTTCAGTTGTATTTCAATTCAGTGGTACGCAAAAGGATCACTGCTAAAGTACAGTTCAGTTGTATTTAACTTTCAAGTCTAGTGGTACGCGGCTCACTATGCCAGTGTAGTTTGCCTTTTTTTTGAGCTTTTTTTTTTTTTGTCCATAAAATTGTGGTCGAACTCCAAATTGGAGCACTTTTGGTGTGTTCCAATCTCCTACCTTCTGAGATGGTGTCCCAATAGGGGGACAGGAAGTGCAAATGCCCCCGTTTGATGATCTCAAACAGCTCCTCCTGATCTCGATCCCGACTTCGAAAGGGGGCGAAGCCGCACAGAAGGATGTAGAGAATGACACCCAGCGCCCACATGTCCACCTCCACGCCGTATCCTGCCAGGTCACGTCAACCATGTTATTGAGAAATAGTTTCAGGAGGACTTTGGTGCAGCGCTAACCTGTCTCGGATAGAATCTCGGGTGCCACGTAAGTGGGCGTGCCGCAGATGGTGAAGACCGGCTCGCTCACGACCATGGCGAGGCCGAAGTCGGCCAGTTTTAGTCTGGTCATGCCAGGAACCGCGTGAACGATCTGAGGGAGCAAAGTCTGATTATCTATACCAATAATAGCAATTCAAAACCCAAAGACAACATAGTTATGTATTTTTTCAGAAGAAAATTAAACATATATATTATAATTTAGTGTCAGAAACCAGAGATGCACTTTATTGGTCTTCACCCACAACTCTTGATGCGAAATTGCGACACATATCAGATATGGTGTTTTGAATAATATTAATCGCGGATGTCTTTGGTGACTAACCAGCAGGTTCTCTGGTTTGACGTCCCGGTGGACCACGCTCCTGCGGTGGATGTATTTAAGCGCCTCACTCACATCGGCCACCATGACCGCTGTTTCGTCCTCACCGAAGCTGCCGCGTACGCTGATGGCCTCGAAGAGATCGCCCCCACTGGCAAGCTCCATGACCAGGTAAGCCCTTGCGGCCGTGCGGTGGTGGGCCAGTAGTCTGACGATGCGCGGGTGCCGCAGGCTGGCCAGAAGGCTCAGCTCGTTCTGCAGAATGTGCTCTCGGCCCAGCAGCTGCGAGCGCTCCACCATCTTGACGGCCAGCGGCCGGCCATCGGCGCGACGCCGGCACTCGCGCACCACCGCAAAGTTGCCATCCCCCAGGATGCGCGCCATTTCGTAGAGGCGATTCACGTCAGCCTCGGCGACCTCGCTGCCCTCCGAGCGAAGCGCCGAGAATTCACTCGAGATGGCAGGAAGGCTCTTTGAGTCTGTCAGTGAATCAAGGTTATTCGTGTTACCCTCTCTGATATTATCGCTGTCATGCGATTTAAAAAAAAAAAGTTTGATTAATTAATTAGGGTATGTAATTTAATTTCTTTTAGTTATTAAGGCCCCCCGCCCCCGCCGCCCCCCATGACCGCCGTTTCGTCCTCGCCGAAGCTGCCGCGTACGCTGATGGCCTCGAAGAGGTCGCCCCCGCTGGCAAGCTCCATGACCAGGTAAGCCCTTGCGGCCGTGCGATGGTGGGCCAGTAGCCTGATGATGCGCGGGTGCCGCAGACTGGCCAGAAGGCTCAGCTCGTTCTGCAGACTGTGCTCTCGGCCCAGCAGCTGCGAGCGCTCCACCATCTTGACGGCCAGCGTCCGGCCATCGGCGCCACGCCGGCA